GGGGGGGCAGGACTGTTTGTTGTGGTCAGCACCACCTTCAACATCTGGCTGAATGTTTTACTCTCATATTTAGCAACCCGCTATTAAACCTAAAGATATCTCACACACACCCTCAGCACTGTTACCCAGAGGGATTTTGGAGCAGTTGGTGGCCTTGCATGATGTCTGCTCCCCAAAATAGACATGCCCTACTTTTCTACTCACTACCACTGTTTATACTGTAATCTAAAGACCTATAAATATATATATATAACGACTCCTCACTCTTTAAATAGTCTTTTTTTATTAGTTTAATTTCTGCTGTATGACTCTGGTTTAAATTTAATATGCCTGGTTGTCTCTAAAGGCTTTTTTTTAATGTTTTGCACTGTGCTATATAAAGCTTTGTATAAGGTTATTGGGCTATTTACGGTATAAATACCCCAGAAATCTGAGGAGAAGACGAGAGAAGAAGAGAATGGAGGAATTACCGTAACAAAATTTAAAAGCACACAACAGCCACTTTACTTACCTGACAAACCTGTTGGTGAGCTGCTCCACAAATCCATAGATCTCATCCCAGTGTCCCCACACGCTGCCTGACCTTCAGAAAAAGCCAGATAAATCACATTCATCCATTACATGAATATAACCCAACACAATATTTAACACCAAGCATTCACAAGCCTGAAGATAACACAGGTGCATAAAAACAGGGGAAGGTCCATTAATCACCAAACAAAGCATACATATTTTCTGCAACAACATAACCCACTGAGAGGAACTCTAGAGGCTACAAAAGTGAACTTTCTCCAAGTATACACTCCAAACACTGATGGTCAGAACAGAAAAGATGAAAATAAACTCCAAACTGCAGTAGAGCAGCTGAAGCACTTGGAAAAAACTAAACACAGCCATACATGGAGAGGAGTGACTCTTCACTGAGGTAACAACTTTTAAATGAAAACTGGCATGTCTCTGTTGGCTCCTTTATTCCCTCAAGCAAACACACGCATGCAGACACAAAACAATCTGTACATACTCACCTGTCTAACACGAAATAAATATCAAACGCGCCATCACAGGAAGCGTCGTCGCCGCCGTGCAACGATGAATTCACACAAACACTGAGAACAAGTAGGATTCTGCAACATATCCATATCCGATCCATAATATATGCGTTTCATATCAGCAGTCAGCGGGATGCATCTGTACAGTAGGAGTCCTTCATCATCTTCACAGCATCGCCCCCAGTGCTGGTTCACATGTTGAGTCGGTTCTGAGTGGAGGTACAGTACATGTGTGGGTCCTCTGTCAGCGGGCTGAGAATGAAATAAACGGGGCAGGGCACACAGCAGCTGCACACACTGTCTCCCACTGCAACACACAACTTCCCTCCTTCACATTAAACTGGAGACAGCGACGTACTACTGTAATACATTATTGTTTCTATGCAGCTGTGGTTAAGATATTTGTTTATTGGTTTAACAGAGACACTGGACATTAGTGCTGTAAATGCGTCAGAATTAGGTGGTTGGTTGTGGGGTTTTTTTTATCTATAGGGCCTGGCTAGATGTTACTTAAGTCCCCCTAAAAATATATATCAAAATAAAATTAAAACAGCAGTTTAAATACCTTACAAACATGCAGATAAATAATAAAAAAATATAATAATAATGCTAGTATAGAGCCTAATCCTATATGATATAATGTCTGGTAAATTGCAAATATATATATATATATAATTCGTTTTTTATCACTGGAGACTACCTATATAAGTAAATATAAAGTGAAGTTGATAAACTACAAAGAAACAATATAAAGTAAACATGAGTTTCTATTATGCAAAAATCAACGTTGTTTCATGTAATGAATGGGTTAGTCATGTTGGTAAGTACAACAAAATAAGGAATGCGTGATAACATTGTATTTTATCTAAATCTACTGAGTGACTCCATTATGCTTTTATTTTGAAAGCAAAATCACATATCTTCCTGCGTTGTAGACGTCATCTTGGACTTGACCTCTGGTTGGCAGAGCAGTTGGCATAAATAGAGACTGAGAGAGATAACAGCAGCACAAAGAATGACAGACTGATGGTTCTGATTACTGAATATAACTAACAAAGAAAATATCTGACCCTTAGATAATCCTGTATTTTAAAACAGAAAGGAAGGGAGCCATTCTGATCCTCCGATAAAACAATGAATCCCTTTTTATTAGAATCTGAATTAAGTGGGTGTCGTGTTTCCAGATTTAATAAACATTTGCCCCTCAGCCAATGAACAGTTCAGCAGTGGCTTATTACAGGACATTTCTCTCTTCCTCTGGCTGATAAATCACTCTCCCAATAACGCACTGGAGCCTGATGTATTTTTTTTTCTTTTGAGAATAAACAAGTGCATCATGTTCCTGTAAATCTATTGCAGATGGAAAGCAGCATTGAAGAGGCTAACATAACGCCCATGGTATGTTAGAATGATTTGCTGCCTTGCCTGACCCATAATGCAACTTCCCAAAGGCTGAAATCAAACGTACTCCTTCGTCTCAAGAGAAAAGACTGGCCTTTTTGATTCCTCCAAGTATCTCTTCTCTTCAACGCCAGAACATGACCATGTCCCAAACCCTTTACATTTACGTCATCAATTCAGGGTGTCCAACACATACCAGAAGTTTTTTTGTGGTATGTAATTATATATTGCATTGTGTTTGCAGGGATGCAACTGCACTGCCTGATGCTTCCCACAAGGTATAATTTCAGCATTTAAAGAAGATGAAGTCATGACAGTAAACACAACTCAAATAATAACATACCAAAGTCATTGTGTCAGCAAATGGTCTGTTTAATCTTGTGCTAGCTATGGATCCCCCTCGGATGTTTCATGGATGGCTGTTATGGATTATGTGATCACTGCTTTATTTTGGGGTGCAGTTGGACTACCCGTTGTTGCATGTCCCCTCCAATTGTTGCTCTTTCTTCTCTTTTCTAATAAAGACAAAAAGTAATGTTCAGAACAGCCATAGAGTGAAAACAGAGGAAAGAGAGTTGTAATCGCAGTTTCAAGTACGGCCTGACTTCTTTAACATGCTAAATCATTTTAAATAAACATTGTAAAACATTTCTAATTGACATTGCTGAGAGCTGCTTCTTCTCTTTCACTCTGACAAGCATTTTGTTTTGCATTATAGACTGAAAAAAGTTTTCATATCGGCCCATATCGGATAACACACATCTCCAACCCGTGTCCATCGAGGGGGTCGATGTGGAGGTGGTCAGGACCTATAAATATCTGGGGCTGCAGCTGGACGACAAGCTGGACTGGACAGCAAACAGCCTTCCTCATCCTGGCTGGGGATTTCAACCACGCCAACCCCAAGAGCGTGAACTCCATGGACATATCAACTTCCCCACACGAGGAAACAATATCCTGGACAATGTCTACACCACACACAGAGGTGCCTACAAAGCCCGTCCCCTCCCCCACCTCGGGGCCTCAGACCACACCACTGTTATGCTAATGCCAGCATACAGGCCGCTGGTTAAAGTCACCAAACCAGCTACAAAGCAGATACGCGTGTGGCCTGAGGGGTCTTCAGAGGCACTCTCCGACTCGCTTCTCCACCACCGACTGGAGCATCGTTCAGACCAGGCAGCCATCCTACAACAACACCAACAGACACTCCAGGATACACCGGAGACCTTCTGGACATTTAATAACAAAACCCGTCTCACTAGCATCAGCCATCCAGATTGGCAGGTGACCCACCCAAGCCCATCTCCACAGCTCTTCGCCTGCGCCCCGTCGGGGAGGAGACTGCGCGAGCACAAAACCAGCAGGCTGAAGGACAGTCTTCTTTCACCAGGCTGTCAGGAGACTCAACTCAACTCCCTCCCTGCTCTACCGTCACTCCCTCCTCTAAAATTTTATTTTAAATTTTATTTTAATGTATGTCTAATGTATGTAATATATGTTTTGTATGCTACTGGATACTTGAATTTCCCTCGGGATNNAATGGACAATTTCTACCTGTATTTGCACTGCTTACTGTTTTGCACTGTTTACTGTAGCTACTGTGTTATAAGTACATTTTATTTTAAATTTTATTTTAATGTATGTCTAATGTATGTAATGTATGTTTTGTATGTATCTATCTAACATATATGGCGATGCTGATACATGCCAACAAGTGTGCTATAGCAGACATATATATCGGTCAGGCTCTAGTTTTAAAGAAGATACTCTCTGTGCACAAAATGTCTAAAATGTAGATGTAAGATGCAGTCTAATAAAGTTAGTTTAGCCTTTTCAATCCAACTGTCTTGCCGATGATCTCGGAAAAACTTAATAATGAATATTATGTATAACAAGACAACGAAGAATAAAATAGTTTTTCCAACCTTAAAGATACTTAAAGTGTGAATTAAAGGAAACTGGATGTTAAGACCTAAACTTAAAAATGGAAAAGATGCCTGTCAGAGATGGATACCTTTGTGCCAGAAGGAGTCTTGTTTCTTCCTGGCTAAGAGAACTGATGGCAGAAAGGAGTGATGCTCAACTGGAAAACAAAACAGAGAAAGTGTTACTTCATACCACTGCTGATGGAGTATGAACATTGTGTGACCACAGCCAATTCCTCCATCAAAGGCAAAACAGATTAAATTGTTTAGGGTGTGGTCACAAGTCTGTATTATTAAATGAAAATCACTTATACTGTCAGTAAACAATCTGGATTGTAAACAAACTGTCGCCAAAACCAGGGGTGTGACTTTCATCTCAGCTTTAGTGGAGATCTACTGGGAACTGCTCAAACCACCACAATAAAAGACACTCCAGAACATGCAATGCTTATATAGAGAGGGAAGATACAAATGTAAGCCTCTGAGAAAATGTATTTAATGAAGGATTCAAGAGATATTTTGCAGGGAAGCTCAGGACATGTTTCTAATGAAATAAATAACTACAGGTGCAGTACTGCACACCCACCAGTAGGTGTCAGTAACGTACCGTGTTGATGTTTACTATCAACATAAGAAAGAAGAAGATATTCTTTGATGTTATCCAGTAGCTGAGGATATTATTCTTTTTTTTTGCTAAAATGTGATTTTTTTTAACTCAGTGTTAGCTTGATAGCCACCTGGATATGGCTGAACTGCCTGGGCGAGGACTGCCACTAATGGTGAGCTTTATAAACCTGTTTTCAGTCAGTTTAACTAACTCAGTTGATGTCAAGGTTAGCTCGCATTGACGTTAGCCTGCTAAAAAACGGTCTGACATACAGTTGTCATTGTGTCGGTTTTGCTGTTTAAAACACCTTTATCTCACAATGAAAGAGACAAGAGGGTCAACATAGTGCGGCTGTGCTGCAGTGTGGTAAAACCAAAGCTTTTGTAGGTAGCTAAACGTGAATATCAACGTTAGCTCGAGCTAGCCTAGCTGTAAACACAGGTGGACTGACGTTAACCAACACTGGCACAAAAGCTCCACGTTAGCACTGCTTCTCTGCCCTTGAATCTCTATCCTGTCACTGGTTTGACCAATATAAACTAACCGGCGTTTTGTATCATCCTCCTCCTCCTCAAACTCAGTCTTAACCTTCCCAGCTTGCCTTGTGCCAGAGGAGCTGAGGTCAAGATGCTGCTGAAGATGCCCCAGAAGCTGCTGAAGACTGCCCACTACATAGAGCTGGGCAGCTACCAGCACTGGCCGGTGCTCATCCCGCAGAGGATAAGACTGTATACCTTCGAACAAATCCCCCTCTTTCTCAAAGAAAACCCCTACATCACAGACGGCTACAGGGCTCACCTGCCATCCAAACTGTGCCTGAGGAGGTGGGAGTCATGTTGGAAATAGTTTTGACTTCATTGCAGTCATGTTTCCCCTTTTTTGACTGAGTTTGTGCTATGTGAGCGTTATACTGGTGCATGTTCGTTGGTATACAGGCTGACCTTTTTGACTTATGTGACTCTGTTTCATTTATTTTCTGTCGCAGTATTTTTATTCTGTCCAATGAGACGGTGAATATCTGGAGTCACCTTCTGGGTTTCCTGCTCTTCTTCTCTCTGGGGGTCAACGACCTCTCCTCAGTACTGCCAGCCTCCGGCGCTAACAGAGAGGACTACGTCATTTACGCCATAGGACTGTTCTGCTTCCAGGTAAGACTTATTTGGCTGGGTGGAGACTGAGAGAGGGGAAAAAAAGCTAGGATTTTTGTCTGTTCGGGGAATTAATGTCAAAAGAAAGTCCTAAAACCTTGTTGTTCACTGTGTTGTCAGACATGAAACTGAATGTGAAGCTGTTTAACTAGAGTGATCCTACAATTCAGGGTTTTGACAGTAACACAGTGCACATGATATACAAATGTATGTGTGTAATTTAACAGTAATTACTGTTCGCTTTTCCGCTCTTCATTAGCCGAGTATTCGTACTGTATATGAGTAATAATGTATGCAGCGTCCTGTGTTACAGTATATTTGTATGACATAACAAACTGACTCATGTAGGTTCACGTTTCCTGCCACAGGTGCAATCAGTTCACCTCTACCTACCCAGGTGTGTAAGCTGTGTATAGCTGTAACTATTGTAAAGGTGGGGCACAGTGTATTGTCTTATAAAGAGCTACAATAGTAATGGTACTATAGTCCAGCGTCCCTGTTGGCAGCTGATGTTGTGTGAGCTGTGCACGGTTGTGTTGTAGGTTTTGTAGCAACTTATAATGCGATTGGAAGTCCGTATGTTTCTCATTTACAGTAAGTATATAGTGTAGTATATGTTACCCTCCCATCCTCCTCCTAAAATCCCTTCCTCGGCCCATGGATGTTGTGAATATGTGGATTGTCCTTAAAAAGCATTATTTCTATTGTGGTCGCAAAGACATTTTGTTGACTTTTTTTTTTTTTTTCAAAAAAGGTAAAACTAAACAAACATGACATTCATAAAAACAAACTGTAATCTCCATTGAGAATCACAATATCTCCCAGATTGTAACAGTACTGTATGTTTTCTTCTCAGGTGTGCATGTTGTGCTCTGTGGGGTATCACCTGTTCTCGTGCCATCGCTCAGAGAAGACCTGCCGTCGCTGGCTGGCGTTGGACTACGCGGGCATCTCTGTTGGCATCCTGGGCTGTTATGTACCTGGAATCTTTTACGCTTTCTACTGCAATGCTGTACGTGCGAACAGTCAAGTTGGTGATTTGTATCACAGTTAATAAGGAAACAAATGCTTCGGCTCCGATTAGACTAATCGATCACTCTCCCGTCTTGCAGTTTTGGCGCCAGATCTACCTGCTGACAGTGCTGTCCCTGATCCTGGCCGTCTTCTGCGCTCAGGTCCACCCTCGTTACCTCAGCAACGACTGGCGACGGATACGGATGACGATCTTCTGCTGTGTGGCTGGCATAAGTGTGATACCTGCGTGCCACTGGGTCTGGCTCACTGGAGGATTCACCTCTGATGTTGTACAGGTCAGGAAATACTGTCACAGTAAAACAACAAGCAAAGTGAGAGCACACTTACATTTTTCATTTTTAAACTTACTACAAGTAGTTATTAACTGGTTACGAAAGAGTCATTAACGCTTCCTATATATAGACCTATAAGCATGAGAGACCCTCAGTGAGAGGATTGGCTATCACTATGTAGTAATTCATAATGATTCAGTGAAAATCAATGAAACAAGGCGATGTTTATTCATACTGTACAAACGTCTTGTTGTATGTGCAGCTGTTCCTGCCTCGCGTGTTAGTGATGTACCTGATAGCTGGGTCTGCCTTCCTGTTCTACGTCACCAAGATCCCTGAACGCTATTTCCCTGGTGAGTCTTTCTCCTCTGCCTCTGTGTGTGTTCAGGCCTGAAGGGGGGAGAAGTGTTAAATTCATTGAGACTTTTGGTGAACAGAAAAAGAAGGAAATAGTTATTGACTAAGTGACTATTAGTAAACAAAGTGAAAATGTAAGTGTCAGTTGTATTTTGTGGTGTCAGCATTCGTGTTTAAAGTTCATACCGTACCTCAGAAATGACAAAAGATTCTATAGTTTGATAAAGAAACTATGTTTTTTTCTTTTTCAGTCATAATTTGTCTTCAATATCAAAATGTGAAGGAAAAAAATCATATTGTAAACCCAGTATCATTTCATCCCTACACAGTACTGCAAGAAGACTAGAAATGATAAAGAACACACCATTATGTGTCAGTGGTCAGTATACTGACTTAAACTTAAAGATACTTGAAGTATAATTAAGGTACTAAGTAGGATAGTCATTTTTAGGTCTTGTCCCTCACATTAAAATGTTCTATAACTGTAATGTAATTATTTAAAAAGTCTCTGTGTACCTTTTGTAGCTTTCCATCATATCACTTGATCTTCATCTGCAGATACAGTTTCATTGTAGTTTGAGGATTAACAAAACCAACATGTTCCAAATTTAGAGCATTTTCTTCCTCTCCTCTCCCAGGCCAGCTGAACTACCTGGGTGCCAGCCACCAGGTGTGGCACATACTGGTGGTGGTGATGTTTTACTGGTGGCATCAGACAGCTGTACACATCATGCACTTCAGGCACAGCCAGGCCTGCCCGACCCGGACCAGCAGCGGCTAAGTTTAACTGATCGAATTAAGTTATGGGCCGGCAATTGGTTGCAGGCCAATAATTGTCAGTAGATATCAGTTAAACTCTCTCTCTCTCAAAGACTTCTTACCGGTTTGCTGTTGGTTAGAAGTTGCTACCTAAAGGGTTTTTCAACCACTAACTACCAGCAGCTCTCGACTATAAGCTGCTAAGGTGTAAAAGCAGTCTCACGATAGCTATTAGCTTACACTGAACCAACAGTTACTGGTCGGTACTGTCTTGTACCCTGGCCAGCTTTTAATGGCCAGTATCCTCTATTAGTCTGCTGTCTCCAACAGTAGATATCAGCTGAGAGGATTTAGGAGCTCCTGTAAATCTTATATTCTCTTAGCAAAAGCTCAGTTGATGTCAAAAGTGATGTAGCTACACCAAACTGATCCCCCTAATGGACAGAAAATAATCCTTGATGTTGCACCATGACCATTAAGATCAATGCATGAAGCAGGAATTTAAATGTATTTGTAGAAACAGACTAAGGTTTGGTGTTTTCATTGGGGATCATGTTATCTCATGGTTGATTGTGATTCTTTTTGCACAGAAGTATTGAAAAACTATGAGATTTTCTTGCAACATAATAGCCTGTGTGAACAATGACTTCTTTTGCGTCAAACTTTGTTTTATCTGTCAGTTCCTACAAGATTAGATTTTATGCACAGAACTGGAAATTCAGCATTCGGACACTGTGAATTGTCTGTCTCTGGGAGAAGCAATGCTCAAACTCCTCTAGAATTTGCAAGCTTTTTAACAAATAGTTAAAGTCAACAACGATC